TTATGCGAAACAAGGGATAGTAGTTTTTCGTTTCGGCTGTCTAATATCCACACACTGATAGAACGGATTAGTTATTGTTAACGAATGGATTTTGGTTGGAGGTTAGGGTCTATTCGGTCTCACCAAATGTTCATTCGTTAATAGTTAACGAATGTATATTTGAGGAGCCGTGTTTGACTTGACTTTCGCCATTCAAATGAACTATTCGTTAACTATTAACGAATATTCATTTGGTCATATTCAACTCTATCATTCGTTAATAGTCAACGAATCTCGTTTGGAATAAATGAATCATTCTATCAGTGCACCGTCTGGTGTGAATTATCCGCCTCTTGAGCCAAATATTTCGTTGCGGTCGAAAGCAGATCAATTATTCATGTTTGAAACTCTCAAATTCGAACCAAACAAATTCTTTTTTGGCATTTTTCAACTTCTGATTTTGTTGGCCCAAACAAGACTTGTTTGACAACGTGTTTGTTTTTCTCTCAGTGTATGCATCATTTCAATATTCTCCCATAGTGATGTTTTTTCCTATTTTTGCAGGACGAAAAAAATTGTGGGGACACCTGAAGGTTTCGTCAATTCATGTAAATGATTTTTTTTACTGCGGGATTTAGGGGATTTGTGGTGTCTCATCTCATGTCAATAAATGTTGCATCGCATATTACACACCGCCCGAAGACATCCTAGGTGATCTCTAATTGACCCCGCAATCTTATAAAAGATATCCCCGCGTACCTCTGTGTGGTCCATTCCGTCATTAGACATTTCAGCATTCAAGATGAATAAAAAACGGAAACGAGCCCGTAAGACGAATAAAATCAGGGGTGTATTTTCAGTGCGGAGAGGAGGCTCACATGATGATCGCTATTTTAATATTGCTCCTCATTGTTAGGTGAAATTATGAGAAAGAGCAATGAGAATTGGCCTCGGGCGAGAGAAGAGCAAAATTCATTCTAATACTTTAACAGTATAAGCTCCCTCGACATAACTCGCTGATATCCACTTCCCTTATTCGAAGCAATTATTCTAGCTGTGTAATATGGGAGTAAATGGACAAGATTTTTTATTTTCACCATTTTTTTTCTCGTCGTCCGGAGAAATACGAAAAAGGCACCTGTGCGCGGTACTAGGTTCATTTGAGAACTTAACAATATATTACCGAGAGTCCAGGTGAGTGAGTGAGAGAGTGAGAGAGAGAGAGAGAAAGAGAGAGAGAGAGGTAGAAACTCTAATCGTGTGTATAGCGTGTGATTATTTTTTACAGCCTTTCTTTCGAGGGATGAGGAGAGGCACAGAGTAATTTGGCGTTTAACCGATATAAACGTTTTGTCTGTGATCGCCCGGGACGCATCTATAATCTCCCATGGAGGCAATTCACGACACATGCAACCCAAGCGCCAGGCTTTTTTTCGGTGAGAGAAAAAATGCAGCTGCCGTGCCAGGAACTATTTCACAAAAAAATAGAAAATAAATAAAAAATATAGGGGAAAAAATTGGGCGAGCCTGGAGTATTTTGTAACCAGTAGTTTTGGTCATATAGCTGCTACATTTTTTTTGACGGGGCTCTGACTTGTGTCTGGACAGGAGTCATCTCTAATGGTCCATCTGTCACACTTGTGCTAATTTCTACGTTTTTTTCTTGGCTTCTGTTACTGGTTTTTGGGAATTTTATCGTTTACTTGCCACATTTGTGTGGAAAAAGTGGTCTCGTGATGGGTGATGGACAGCTTTTGAAGACTTAGGGTCACGAGAGACACTCGGGCTATGAGCGAACAAATTTTTTTTTCAATCAAAATATAAGAAAAAAAATTGAGCGAATAGACAGCAAAAACGAATGTCTGAAATTTACACAAATTTTGTAGGCATTTTTCAGACACTAAAAAACGTCTGAATAAAATGAAAATGTGTCTGAATTTCAGACGAACAGGGGCCCAAACATCTTAATTCATGTTTGAAATTCAGACAAATGTTCATTTTATTCAGACGTTTTTTGGTGGATGAAAAATGTCTACAAAGGGTGTGTGAAATTCAGACATTCGTTTCTCTTGTGTGTGGAGTATTTTGCATCCAGTATTTTTGGACATATATCCGCTCCATTTTTATTCGGAGCTCTCACTTGTGTCTGGACAAAAGTCATCCGTAATGTTTGAAAAAAAATCACACTTGTGTTAATTTCTAAATTTTCCCTTGGCTGCGGTCACTTTTTTTATGAATTTCATAATTTTATTCTCACACGGAGACAAATGTTCAGTGAAAATTACGGATCTCACAATTCGCTCACCGATTACGGAATCGACTCAGAAAATTTAAGTGCACGGAGAGAAATTTTCTGGGAAAATTCTAGTACGAGTACTGGAAAAAATCACAATCCACCGGTTGTGAAAAATTCTAGTGCTGTTAAGGTAAAATTTCTTGGTATTTCTGGTAAAATTGCTGGGGATTTCTGTCAAATTTTTACAGAAATACGGGAAAAAATTCACGTTTTCCCCAATAAGATTTCTAGTTCCGGCACTGGAATTTTTTCCTGGCCGTCAATTTGCGCCTCTTTTCCCGTGCTAGCACTAAAATATTTCCAAACAAGATCTATGCGCGCGCTGATCTATTTATTTCTTGAAATGAAGAAATGGAATTCATTAAATTTCATTTTCTCATGAATACCTTATAAATATTAATAATGAATCAAAGAGAATTCGACTAATGATTGAAGTGAATAGCGAAGTAGAGTAAAAGAATCTATAAAGAATTTTTCATTTTCAATTAATTATCTTCAATTTTTTTAAATAATCGGTCTCCATAAAAGGACAGAATTTATTAATTTCACAGATAATATATATACATGTGAAATATATATATTATACATATATATGACGTGAAAAAAAAATTTACTTCTGAAGAATTTGAAATTATGTCACTGAAGAATTTGAAAATGCCGTGTGTTTTTTTTTGTAAATAACTTCGTGTCACATATTGACCAATCAGAATTAAGGATTAGCGGTCAGGCAGTTTCGAGATATTTCGATATAAAACAACTTCACGTTTCTTTCATCTTTAGTAAAATAGGACAATTTTTCTCTGTGTGGCGGTATCGTAATTTTTCACAGGAGATTCAGATAAAAATTACGGAACGCTCTGAAAAAATTCCCTGACAGTTCCGTAAAATTTCTTACAACCACATTTCACTCCGGAATTACGGAAAAGATACGTCATTTTTATTGAATATTTCTCTCCGTGCACATTTGCGTTCAGAAAATGATGGGGGACGATGAAGACACTCTTGAAGCCTTAGGGTGACGAGGGCCGTGAAGGCTATGAGCGTCATTTTAACGTTCAGTAAAAAACCTTTTCCTCAACCAGATAAAAAAAACTGAAAATAGCACTCTCGTGGACATTTTCAATGCGTTTATACCCGGTGAAAGCGTGTATGTTGGGGGTCCAGATAAATACAGTACGAATTGAAGGTACGAGAGTAGAAGAGGGAGGGGTTGATGCCACGTGAGAGCCCCAGAGGTTACTTTTAATGTCTCGCGTCACGCAGCCCAAGGCAGAGTATAGAATATGTGGAGAAAAGAGTAGTTTCCACGGTAGAGAGTTCTGATGTAAGGGAGAGAGAGAGAGAGAGGTAAATAAGGGCTCCGCCTCGTCCTCCTCACTAATTTGGCGCCAATTTTCAGCGAACCGGGCAAAAACTAACCGAACCATATACCTTCTGTATCGCGAGGGGGGTACCATACATACAGCCTCTCCTGGGCACTGATTAAATGCTACTCGGAACGTTATAAACGTAAAGAGAGACGTTTTTCCCACACTCTGTGCAGGACTCCCAGTACTGGACAGTGCCACACTGAGAGAAAAACAAACACGTTGTCAAACAAGTCTTGTTTGGGCCAACAAAATCGCTAGTTGAAGATTGGCAAAAAATAATTTGTTTGGTTCGAGTTTGCAAGTCTCAAACATGAATAATTGCTCTGCTTTCGACAGCAACGAAATATTTGGCTCAACAGGCGGATAATTCACACCAGACGGTGCCTTTTCAGGATGAAAATATCTCATATAGAGGAAAATTTATCAACTAATATTTTATCCCTAAGTTACAAGATTGCTATCATATCATTATTATTGTTTCATTTAAGGGTTCATTTGTTGTCTGTGATTATTAGACAGCCGAAACGAAAAACTACTATCCCTTGTTTCGCATAAAACAAAGATTTTCCAGGAGCAAAATACGTATGAAACAGAGAACGCAATTTTTTTTGAACTACTAAATCTATTTTTGCGACAAAAATTTTTCATTCCGGCGCCGCACTCTCTGCATGTTCGGAATAAAAAAATCCTTTTTTGATCATTTTCAAAAAACTACTTTCTTGACACAAGTAAGACATGTTTGAGAACTTTGTCGTTTTTCTCTCAGTGCCACGACTCATAAAGACAAAATAAAAATACAGTTAAAAAACTGAGATCATCGATAATGCACGTTGGAAGAGTGGAAATGGCTCAATTCATTCTGCAAATCAATTGAAACGTGATTGGCTATTGGATAACGCGTTAACCTATGCAAATATTCATCTCACAGCGTGATATCAATTTAATAGGACGCCCCCTACCCTTGTTTCCTCAATCATCCAACCTTTATCGGGTCTTTGGATTGAGGAAGAGCAATAGATGAGGTATAAATCCAATGTCTGTGGATATATCACGAGTTGGTCAGAGATAACAACGTCTTTGATCGTCGTCTCTTCACTACGTGGAACTACTCCCTGCTGGTTGACCTCATCATGCCACACTATTGGGGGTCCTTTGGAGGCACGCATGAGAGCGACTGATATATGTACATCTACTAATCGGCTTTTGTTTTTGCGGGAATTGCCCTGGCGCCGGGTGATAATATTCGTTCACGCAATCCAATTTCAAGGCTAAAGTAACATTATTTTTCCATTTCCCTCGTCTCTGTTAACCTCGAAAAGTTGAAGAAGTCCTTGGACAATCTAATTGTCACGCAGATGGAGTGGAGATCTGTCTGGAATCGTGGAGGAAAAATCGATCAAGTCTGTTGGATTGACAGAGACGTGATAGTGTGGCCCTCTGGTGGCAGTCATCTCATCTTCCTCCACGTGAGAAAGAAGCTTCAGACCTTGTGGAGATGCCCTGAATCCATGGACGGAGCCTCTTCCATCTCTTCATACCCTCAACTCCATCTTATTGCGCTCTCTGAGGGCTGCCCCAACCCGAGGATTCTTATCTTCACGTATCCCAGTATGAAGATCATCTCGGAATGCAAGGGAGGAACCGAGAATGGCTACCTGACGACTGCCTTCGCTCCTCCGGATTTTTTGGTATCACTGGCATCATTTCCAAGTTACAATTTGATCCTTTGGAACTGGAGGTCCGGGTCGCAGTTGTGCTTCATCGCCACTCCCATCCATGATCTTCGAGGACAGGTGATCAAGGTCTTTCAAGGGAAACCGGCGTCCATCGCCCAACTTGGGAGAGACTCTGGGAAACTCCTGATCTGGCAGATCGTCCGGAACTCCATCTCTCCGCTCGTTGAAGAAGTCACGCTTCCGAAAAGAGCGCTTCCGGTGGATATTGATTGGTCTCCAGACGCGTCAGATCCTTTTCTAGCGATTGCGGATGACTCCGGGCACGTCTACCTCTGCAAAAAAAATTGGGACGAACCGAAACGCATTGTCTTCTCCCAGAGGTGCGCCACCTGCCTCGACTACGAAGTTCCTGTCCTCAGCTGGTTCACTGATGGCATCCTTTTGAAGACAACATTCTGCCAGATGAGGTTTTACAGAAAGGGGGACGATACCTGGCGGAGGCAGTGGTACATCAAGACTTTGCTGAAGCCTCACATCCTCTCGGCTGACATTTTCAAGAAGGACAGATTGATATTCTTCGCTGGTCAAGGCGATGTCATGGAGATGACCCTTGCAGTAGGAGAGACTTCTCCCAAAATCGACAAGATCTTCGATTACGGAAGCGGCTTCAAGTTCTTGGAGGTTATCTATCCGTGGGGACATCACGTGGCAGCTGTAGACCATCTGAAGAATCTTGTGATAATGGCGTCTCACAGTGGGGAAGAAATAGGGAGGTTGGAACTGTCAGTGGAAGGGGATATTGTGAATATCATCTCGCATTTGGAGTGTCCTATGATTTTGGTTTCTACATCTGCTGGAGAAATTTGCTCGGTGAGCCTCCATGACTACCAGAATCCCAGGGTTTTATCAAAGTATCAGTTTGAGAAGCATCAGATGGATCTGTTGAAGTTTTCGCAATGCGGCAGGTCTGTATTCCTCACACAGAACCTTCATTTCAGTTACAGAAATAGTCACTAGTTGGAAATTTTCCAGATATCTCATCACTGGTAGGAAAAAGTATGGATTATTCTACTGCATTGAATCAGTCGAAAGCCCATCCTCAACAGTGCGGAAAATAGAAACAGAGCACAGGGTTCTGGACATCGCCATGTTCAACAGAAAGGGTGAACTTATGCTTCTCATGCTGATTCTGCCCTTTAAAAGAGCAAAAGTAGCGAATTGCATAATCATCTACAAACTGCCACCTTTCGAGAAGATTGTTGGAGCCATCGTTAGTGTTCTGAAGTTACCAACTCTCTACGACAATTTCCATTACGGGCTTGAACCCATGACGATGGTAGCTTCACCATTCTCATCCCGAAATCTTCATACTTACAAAATCCAAAATGATCAGATTTGTCTGACAAATGCGGCACAATCTCCTCATAAAATTCGAGGGATGAAAGTCCACACAGATAGAAATTGGATCATTACTTACGGATTTGACGGAATCATTGGTGTTGTGAAGAATTTCAAGAATTTGGAATGGTTGGCACACGTGAATTCCCATCATAGGCTCAATTTCGGTGTATCCAAGGCTGTTTTGAAACCGGAAGGGGACTTTGTGTTCTCCTTAGGCAGTGATGGATCTCTTCTTGGGCTGAAGTTGATGAAAATTGAGAAGAATCAATTGGAATCACCAGTTGATTTTGGAAAAACTCAAATAGATTATGCAGAAGTGAAGAAGAATATTTCGAAGGACTATTCCCGACTCAATCCTGACATTATCCAAATGCTCTCCCGAAGGTATGAAAAAATTCCACCGGAAGACAGTGGCGTTGAGATCTGGAGCGATTGGATGATAAGACAGCAAGCGATGAGAGAAGAAGAGCAGTCTAAAGACCTCAAATCATCAATCATGAATGACTTTTATAAACTGAAGATCCAAGTATCGAAGTTGTTGGATGAGAACGAGAAGCTTCCGGTGCAGGAGAGACTTGCGATTTCCGCCTTCGACCTGGATATGATCGAGCGGGAGCAGAAGATCAAGACTGCTAAAGAGGAGAGAGAAGACCGGCGGCTAGAACTGGAGTTCCAATGCACTCAGGTCGAGAAAGTCTCCAACTGGATCAAGAAGACATTCTGGGATGTGCAAGATGTCAAGCAGCAGTCGATATTCGCCATCTTCGGGGACACGGAGGTGATGAATTTTGCTAGTCTTCCTTGCGACCCTCAGGAGAAGGAGATTGCTCGTTGGCTTGAATCTTTCTCCGAGATTAATGACAATCTTCGAGGTGTTGATCGAGAGCCGAGAGCTTACACTCTACTAAGGGATCGATACTCACCAGTTATTGAAGACGAAAGGACAATCGTGGAGAGCTTCCTCGAAGATGAGGATGAGATCGCTAAGAAGGATAAGATCGAAGAGGTCCAGGCAGCTGCAGGTGAGTTTTTCGCCCCTTGAAATATCATTCTTCCCAACGTGATGTTGGTTTTCTCGTGCTTTCCTCAGGCGTCACGACCTTCAGATATGTAGAGCCCTCCAGTGAATACTGTCAATTCAAGCATTATACTTTCCCCCAACTCCATCAATTCACAACCTCCTTGATCACCGATTCCCAAACCCTGAAACATTACTTCAACAAACTGTTCAACGAGACGTTCACGCTTAAGGAACGCGCCATGTCTTCAGCGAGCCAGATAATCTCCCAAATCCGATTCATAGATTCCGAACTCCGATTAATGTTCGGGTCGTCCGTCCCTGAGATACCTGTCGAGCCGCACTGGTCACCTGAAGAGAAACCCGAGTCGATTGTAATAGCGAGGGATGATGAGGTCCCTGTGAAGCCCTACGTTTCCCCGTCCGAGCAGGACCTCCTGGACAAACAAGCCGTAGATCAAGAACGGCTAAGACTTCTCATGCTGTCTGATGACTTTCGACGGAGGGCTCTCATCGAGATGATGGACGGAGTTCTCGAATTCCGGTGGGAGGATATCATCAAGAGAGACATCCCCAAGCCTGACTTCATGGAAGCAAAGGATCCAGAGAATTACTCGAAGGAAGAAATTGTCCTAGCTCATAAATACGAGCAACAAGTTGTAGAATTAGAGCAAGAACGTGACAGATACAAGAGCTTTCTTGAGACGACGTATTCTAAGATAACGAAGACTCTTCGAGAGACGATAGACAAGTTCAACGGGAATCTTCAGGGGTTATTTCTGACGAGGATGCGAGTGGAATCGGCGATCCTCCAACTGGATTTGTTGAGGGCCCGGTGGTACCTGCAAGCCCTCGACCAAATGGAGGCGTTTAACGAGGCGAAAAGAACTCAAGCTGTCATCTCCGAACAGCAATCAAAGATAGAGAGAATTGTGTCGTCGAGCAAGATCCTTGAGGACGAGCTGGTCAAACTGAAGTCCCAACGCGATGTTCTTCACAATAAAGAGAAAGGAGTCAAAAAATTCAAGTCTGAGTTCCACTCTCTCGGAAAGATAGCTGTAGAACTTCTGAGGAAGCATTACAAAAAACGCCCAAAGGTTGTCTTGAAGAACGCGTCTCCAGGAGATGTCCTCACGCTCGCCAAGTGCATCACAACCCAGAGCGGTGCAGTACCTCTCCTACCAGAATTCAGGAATTACCTTACGAGTCTTGAAGCTCTTGACGTCCAGCCGGAGGATCTGCCTGAGTCAGTCAGGCCTCATCACTGGGAGCATCTTGTCAAAATTCGACGTCATCAGATCGATTTGGAGATGAAACTCAAAGCGAATCTGATGGAGATCAACGAGATGGAGAAGACTACCGTTGAAAATAGCGCAAAAATCGGGAGATGTAAAGAATTGATAGCTTATTCTGGAGATGTCCTGGGAGAGATGAGGAAAAATCTGGTGGAACAAATGAAAGACATGGAGATCCAGTTGGTCTTGAAGATGGGTCAGGTGGAAATTGACCTGAAGGGTCAAAGGAATGACACCCTGAATGCGAAATTAATCCCTGTGGGTGTCGTGAAAAAACTGAACGAGGGTATCTTGGAGGCCGGTGACGAGAAACTGAAGGCTCTGGAGGAGATGACCAAGTTCCACAGAGGAACTCTCCTCAAGGAGTGGGAGCACAAGACCCTCCAGATGAAGACGCAAGACCTCACAGACGAGTTGAATGAGATCAACAACCTCTTGGTGACGAAACGAATGCGGGAGATTCTCAAGAAACATCAGCTAGGACTTCCGACTGATGGTAAAACAGTGCAGGATCTGGAGCGGGAGATCGCGGCGATGGAACAAATTATGCAGAAGACAGTGAACGATTGGTGGTCGAAGATAGATGCTGTCGAGAGGGAGATTGAGGCGAAGAAGCGGGAAAATTACGAATTCGATGGGAAAATCAAAGAGATGAATATCGATAGGTGGGAGATGGAGCTAAAGAGGAATCTCGAGGCCGAGGAGAAGTCCAAGGAGATGAGAGAGGGGCTGAGGAGGGCGGTGTTGCGGAGGGCAAGACTCGGCAGGAAGATTCAGAAGAATTATGTGGATTTGTTGGAGATGAAGATCGAGAGTCAGCTGTTGAGGATGAGGAGGTATCCCGCTCTGCCTGGTTGTAGAGTCATTCCCATGAGTGATGCGGATATGGAGGAAAAATAAAACAACAACTCAAGAATCAGTTCTCCATTTTCACTAAGCAGTATTCATCCGAGAGTTCTCGTCCAAAATTTCCATATCACTTCCACAATGACCAACTTTTTTTTTCACCAACCCCATCGGAAAAGGGGAGAATCCAATGAAACCTAAAACCTTCACTCCAATCAATGCAAATAAAATCGCGAGGGGAAGTTGGAGGAGAGACTTCCTGGTGAATAGCAAAGTGTTTGCGGTAGTCAAATCAGACGCATAAAAAGTATTCGCGGAGGTAAAGGATCGTGTGAACATCAAGCGAGGAAAGCAATCTGGTAATGCGTCGCGATGGGTCTCTCCATTTCATCGGGTGAAAACAACCGTATATCCTTCATCGAACTTCCACAAGGTAATACAACCAATATCCAATAGCATCAAATACAAGTTATTGTATTCGGGTAAAACAGCACGTGTAAGATGAGTGTAGTACAATTCGGCTCAGGGTTGTACCGAAGTTTCTTGTCGTGTCTGAGGTACTCCATCGAGTACCGAAACTTCGAGCATCACGCGATTCTACACCGTAAGAACCTGACACGTGTGTGATAGTAGATTAGAATCGCTTCTGTTATTTTAGATTCAGTGAGAACACATTCATCGACATGGTGATCCCAATCGCCAAAACTTCACGAATTTCTTTATTCTTCGAGCTCTCACGATGAAACAAAGACTGTGAAGTTGAAACTAGCGAAATATTCAGCGGAAAATTTAATTTGGGGGATTTTCATTTTTTTGCAAATGCAAACGAATTTGCTCATGACTTGAAAATATCTGCACACGCGGAATACTTCACACTTGAAAACATTTTCGTCTGAATTTTTCGTGCCAGATTCCGGAAATTTTTATCGTGTTCAAGTTTCACTTAAATTTCGGGAAATCTTGTCATTGAAAATTCGAATAGTCCATTGGACAGATTTCTTTTATTTTTTTATTTTTTGAAGTCATTAAAATTGACTTACATAAAAAAAATTAAAAAAATAAAAAAAATAAAATTGACTTTTCAGTTTAATTATTTTGTGCAAAATCAGGAAAATTGAAAATTCAATCAAGTTGTAAAATTTCCATCTCACTCCCACTGAAAACTCATGAATTTCCGTGAATTCTACTTAAAACTTGAAATTTCATAACCACTTTTTCCCTAAATCCGATTCAATGTCACTCTCATGCGATTAACTGTAACATCTTCCATTCAAAAAATTTCTAACAGCGCAACATGAGAATTGACTCTCGCGAGTGCAGGAATATGTGCAAGAAGTAGGTGAGTGTTTTTACAGCTCGTGCAGAGAGACAAGAGAGCACAACTCTTTGTTATTATTATTATTATTATTATTATTATTATTATATTCCTGTTGGATGTCTGGTGTTTCTGGACTTGGCATCCCGCGGGCATCCGAGGCCGGTCCCCCTCTCCATCTCTCTCTCACTCCTATTGCCCTCCCCCTCTCCCTCTCCCGTATTATGGCGTCCTCGCACGTCCTCACTTCTGCCCGAGCCCGTCATAACCCAACGAATACAAAACTCCCTCGTCCCTACGCTGGATTCCCCAGCGTAAGTTGATGCTGGACTGACTTTCAGACCATAAAGAGACAAAGGAGCATTCTCGTGGAGCCCTTGTGGAAGGCTGTAAACTCTCATTTTCGGAAAATAAAAAAATTACCACTGGCCCAAGCATCCGCCGGCAATTTTATGATCACTTGAGCGCTTTTTCAGGAACAATTCTTTGTTTTTTTTTCTCATTCTCTTCTCTCTTGTATTTTGACGCGAGCGAAATGACACATGCATGCCAAGAAAATGCCGGCAAATGGAAAATGCTGAGGATCTCTTGAGGTGGAACACTGTGATGGTGAAAATATAGAGTTGACCGTTGAAAATCATGACACTTATCCCCGGTAAGCCGGACAGTGGGGGCATTACCATATAGCATTGAGAATGTGTGGGTACGCGCGTGAGAGAAATTCTCAAGAGCATTACGTATGCACGTGGGCTCCCAAGAGTCAATATATGTCGAGTATGTACTTGGGTTTGAAACAACGGCGCAGGAGGGGGAGAGGGAGGGGGATGAAAACAGTCCACCCTCATCGCTTTTCGCAAGATTTCACTGAATGTGAAATGATGCTTTCGGCCACGGGGTAACTCTTATGCATTGGTCGGCGATGCGAACACGTTATAGAGGCACGTATTACGCATTTTGGGATTTAATGCCCCGTGAAAATCACGTTCGATTTACCGATTGTATTTCAGCTGAATTTCCAACGATGGAAGAGCATTTTTTGCGGTAGATGTTTGATGGATAGGCATTGCCAGAGTTCTGGTACAATTAAGGATATTCAGGCATCTTTTACGGTTTGTTACGAACCACATTGTACATTGAGAGAAAAACGACAAAGTTCTCAAACAAGTCGTATTTGTGCAAAGAAAATATTTTTTTGAAAATGATCAAAAAGGATTTTTCTGTGCGAAATAGATTTAGTAGTTGAAAAAAAATTGCATTCTCTGGACACGCAAGAAATGTCATTTCTAGCACTACTCCATCGTTATTCGAGACTCCCATACGTATTTTGCTCTCGAAAAATCTTTGTTTTATGCCGAACAAGGGATAGTAGTTTTTCGTTTCGGCTGTCTAATAATCACAGACAACAAATGAATCCTTAAATGAAACAATAATAATGATATGATAGCAATCTTGCAACTTAGGGATTAAATATTAGTTGATAAATTTTCTTCTATATGAGATATTTTCAGCCTGAAAAGGCACCGTCTGGTGTGAATTATCCGCCTCTTGAGCCAAATATTTCGTTGCTGTCGAAAGCAGAACAATTATTCATGTTTGAGACTTCCAAATTCAAACAAAAATAATTGTTTTTTGGCGATTTTGTTGGCCCAAACAAGATTTGTTTGACAACGTTCTTGTTTTTCTCTCACTGTAGATTCAATCATTTTCAATCATCAATTTTGTCAATTGAATTGGACAAAAAATATGAACAAAATCATAAATATTTACACTGATAGAAAGGATTAGTGCAATTTTCCTCTATATGAGATATTTTCATCCTGAAAAGGCGCCGTCTGGTGTGAATTATCCGCCTCTTGAGCCAATTATTTCGTTGCTGTCGAAACCACAATAATTATGCATGTTTGAGACTTTCAAATTCGAACAAAACAAATTCTTTTTTGGCAATTTTCAACTGGCAATTTTGTTGGGTCAAACAAGATTTGTTTGACAACGTGCTTGTTTTTCTCTCACTGTAGATTCAATCATTTTCAATCAATTTTGTCAATTGAATTGGACAAAAAATATGAACAAAATCATAAATATTTACAATGATAGAAAGGATTAGTTATTGTCAACAAATGAATTTGGTTGAAGATGAGGGTCTATTCGGTCTCACCAAATGTTCATTCGTTAATAGTTAACAAATGCATATTCGAGGAGCTTTGTTTGACTCGACTTTCACCTTTCGAGTGAACCATTCGGTAACTATTAACGGATATTTATTTGGTCATATTCAACTCTACCATTCGTTAATAGTCAACGAATCTCGTTTGAAATGAATGAATCAGTCTATCAATGCAGCGTCATTGAAATTACATTTTGCACAGAATAAATAATTGAAATTGTTTAGACTTTCGGAAAGTTTATTTTTTCAGGTATGAAATCGATTTCTGGTAAAATTTTGGATATGAATAAACTTGATTATTTATAAATTATTTATAGAAAATGCTCGGAATTTTCAAAAATTGCAATTTTTTAAATTATTTCATCAATAACGTTTCAAATATTTTCCAACGGCTCAATATCGAGTTTCAAATTCAGACCTGCAAAGTTTAAATAATAAAATCATTGTGCAAATGGGACACAAATGGAAGTCGTGCACCGGAGAAGAAATAGGCAAAGCACTTGGATCCCCTAAGTTTCAGCGAAAGAAAAACAAAAATTTTTTTCTCCGTTTCATTTTTTGACTTGATGTCACGACCTCATCATTTGAGAGAACAAAAAAATTAAAAATTGAAATCAGAAAATGTCGTCAAGTTAACGATCCTCAGACCCATCAACGAATTCTCACTCTGTCGTTTACGATAACCCGTCTAATTTCATTTTAATGACAGGTTAGCCCCAGAGCGGTTCCAAGCGAATAATGAAGTGTCAAATCGGCTGTTGGTGGGCGCGTCCTCCTGTAACCCCTGCGTCACGGTGTAAAGGTTAGTCCAGCCTTTGCATTCACACACACACACACACGCAATCCAATTTGACCCTCATAATGTATTCCTATCAGCCCAGTGAATTTTTTAATTAGCAGCGGGAGGAACCAGCGCGTCCGTTAGGTACCACTCAGTGAGGATTCCACTATTATTACCGTCATTTGATGGCTTGTGCCTTCTCTCCAGTCTATGGAAATGAGTCTATGATTGAATAGCGCCCTATGTGTTGTCTCACGCTCGGCAGTGGTATTTTTGTAAAAATAAATAATCGTCATTTTTGTCAATGAAAAATGAAGATTAATTGAATCATGGTTTTGTAAAAAAAATGACAAATTGCAAGTCGTGAGCGTCACGACTGGGCTCTACTGCGGACAACCCTTTTGCCCCACACGGAATGAAGTTCACTCGTCGCGCAAATGCATTTTACGTTCGTCGAAAATCTCAGTCGCCATTAATTCAGATCCAGCCGACAAGTCCCACTGGGGGTATAACAACGTGCCGACCATTATAGATATTACATTGCCCGTATAACTTCTTACTTTGTTTATTCTCCATCTCTCTTATTTTCATCAAGATGAATGAGAGGAAGAAACGTTAAAAATACGTGTATATATCGGGGTGTTAAGATGGACCGTGGTCGAGTGGATAGGAGAGGGATCTAACTTATTGCCCGTATCGAATAATTATTATTGTTGTTTACTTTGAGAGCGGGTCGTTGGTGGATATTTCGTCTTGAAGCTGGCGGCTCGCTCTCTTGGCAATTTATTTCAAAA